TGGGTTTCTCCCTGGCCAGCCGGCCAGGAATCAAACCCGTGCTGCAGAGGCTGTGGACAGGTGCACAGCATGGTGTTCAACTTCCTACGCCACTGGGGAGGCCCCCAAATTTTTATTTATGTATGTATGTATATGAGAACTGGGGTGCAATCTTAATTTTTGATGGAGTAATGAGGAAATGTGGAATATTACTTCTGAACAAAGATTTTTTCCTATAGTCTTGGCTACAGTCATTTGTGACTTGGAAGATTTTTTAATTTTTACCTTTTTCTAAAAAGTCTTATGATAATTTTACCTGTAATACTTTATTTTGTTTACTTGAGTATGGTTGCAAATGATCAAATTCTGGAGATTAAATGTCATTGTTGACTAGTTGATATAAATTGTATCATCTGCATAAATCCCACTTATATTAACATACATTAGAGATAACATGATTTTATATTTTAAATGTTCATGTTTTTATTATGATCTGTGATGGGAATCCCCCTTCATGGAGATTTATCTAAATGGTAGTTTCATTAAAACATGTACATGCTATATTTTTTGTTTAGGGAAGTATAGAGTTTATGGCATTATTAAATTCTCAGTGAAATGTTATTTAAAAATAACTCTGTACTGTGAACCCCAGTAGTAATGTAAGAAGCTTGCTGTGAAGTATGAATTCATTGACAGTGTATAAATTTGTTTTATAACCAATATGGAATGTTCCAATAGCTCTGGTACACATGTAGTGCCATACAAGCAAATTAACATATTTTGATCTTTCAGAGAAAATACTGAGTTGAAGGAAATGATCTTTTACAATTGGGATCCATAGTGCTAAACTGGCTTTTGGAGTTTGTCTTGAATGATACTCAGAATGTGTAGGAGAGCATGTCTTGCCCACAACCTTACATAAAGACAGACTTGTTGGAAATTATCAATATTTTAAATCCTTGCCAACCTGATAGATGAAAATTAATCTTTTTAAAAATTTTCATTTTGGTGGTGGGGGCCTCCAGGGGTTAAGCACAGCGCTATGAAGTTGTCCGCAGCTTCTGCAGTACAAGTTCGATCCCCACCAGCCAGGGAGCTACACACATAGTGCAGCAGACCTGTCCTGACTCACCCGCTGCTCCCCTCAGCAGTGTACTTCAGTCAGTCTGCCTGTTCTGCTCCCCACTCTGTCTCTGGTGAAACCTCTCACCCCCCACACCTCTGGCCTTTACCCTAGTTCTTTAAGGAAAAAAAATTCATTTTTGGAATCACTAGTGAAACACATCAAACTTTTTAAAAAGTCTTGTAAACTTCTTTTGTAGGTGTACAGTTTGATGAGTTTTTGTCAAATGTGAGGAGTTATATAACCAACACTATAAGCAAGATACAAACATTTACCTCCCTCTTTTTTGCCCCTTGTTTCCAGTCCTCTCTCTCCGTTTCAGACACTGGTAGCCTTTGATCCATATTCTTACAAAGACTTTAAGAGAAATGGAGTGCAGGATTTTGGGCTTGCCAGCTAGGGTCTATGGTAGTAGACTATGGTTTCTTTCAGGGTGGGAGCGTTATATCAACAATGCCTGAAGGGGGAGATCCTGCACTTCTACTACGAAAATGATGTAAACCAATATTAACTTCAGTAAAAAATATTAAAACAAAACAAAACAAGACAAATTACATTTCCCTTCTCCTTGTGATCTTATCTTCCCAACTCTTGGTTACCTTGTCAGCTTTGTGGTAAATTTTTTTGCTTTTGCTTTTTGCTCAGATTTTCTAGTCTGTGAATTTTTCTATATAGGGCATGATTTTTTATCACAGTAGTTCTCTTTCGGATATCAAAGTTTGGGCTAGTTAAGATAGGTTATAATGTGATTAGAAAATACTCTCCAGATATGTGACCTATTGTAATAAATAAAAGTTAATTTCTGCTCATGGCTGCCTATCTATCTTGAGTTGGGCAGAAAGTGAACCTATTATATGCAAATCCAGGGATCCAGGATGACAGAGACACTTCTGGCTTGCAGTTATACTTTCTGGAACACAAGTCTTTCTTGCTATTAGTAGCAGAAGAGGCTTACAGAATTTACCTCTTATCCGTACTCTTTTATGTTTTCGGCAATAATTCTGACTATGGCCTGCTGGTTAGAATAAGCCACTTGGTGCTGCCTAACTGAAAAAAAAAAAAAAAAAAAGGGAGTGGGTAGGTAATACACTCTGTTGTGTTTTTGGAAAGAGATGAAATCTGTAAGATAGCTACCAGAGACATGAATATTTATTGAATATGTGCAATATGCTGGACCCAGTGATAACACATTTACATGTATTTCTTCTTGAATTCCTATGGGATAGAGATTCATAATGTAATTTTTAAGATGAGGAAATTAAGGACTATGAATGGTTAGTATTTGTAAGTATGTCACACAAACAGTAGTTGTGCAATTGGGATTAGGATCCAGAGTGTCTCCTGTAGTAAAGAATGTTCTTTTCCCTCTGGGAAATAAACTGTTCATGCAATAAACATTTGCTGGATTAAATAATCTATGTTATGGTAGGTGGTATATTTTATTCAGTTTCTGTTTAGAAAAAAATTAGTCTGTTGCAAACTTACTCTTCAGTAAAAAACCTCAAGAAACAATCTGTCACTGTAAGATGAGCTACTAGCTCATGGGAACTGAACTCTGGAACTAGTTTTTTTTTTTTTTTTTAATTTATCCTGATGTCTGTCACTATGGAAGATAAAATCATTTTTGTAGAAAGGAGTTGCAGACTGAAAAGGTAGCAGCTGTAAAATACAAGCAAAATAGACATTCTGTGGGCAACTTTGGCATATTTCATATGAGATTTTCAATAAACAGAGTACTTTAGAGCAGCAAACTATGATTGGCATGTAACATGTTTTAAATGATTTTGAAATGGGGAAGTTTTGGTCTCAAACAAATAAAGCTCAGAAGGAGATACATTGAGTCTGATGTAGTACACTGAGTAAAGTAGGATATCACAGCTGAGCAAAATATGACCTTGCAAGCCACTTTTTCATTTTCCTCTGGTATGGGAGAGATGTGTTCTGACATCTGAAAGGAAGGTGATCTTGGTGGTTGTATGGTTGCTTCTTAAGTATTTCCTACTGAAGAAGTAGGAAATGATCTTTTACAATTTGGATCCATAGTGCTAAACTGCCTTTTAGAGAGTTTGTTTTGAATGATACTCATAATGTGTAGGAGAGCATGTCTTGCCCACAGCCTTAAATAAAGACAGACTTCTTGGAAATTATCAATATTTTAAATCCTTGCCAACCTGATAGATGAAAATTAATTTTTTAAAAAATTTTCACTTTTGGAATCACTAGTGGGCAAAGTTAATTGTTATTGCACTAAAGTCTGAAATATGTAACTATGACTCAGGATGACCTGAGCTTTGTGACATGTATCAGAGGAGGAGGGACTATTTATCATGTGTAAGATGTTGTGCCAAGCATGTTAAGTGCAACCTCTCATACTATTTAGTGGTTGTTTTAAAAATGAGCCTAATACTTCAAATTATATTTTACCATTGTGCAAACTCAATATGTTAGTCCCTCTAAGGTTTGGAGAAGCCTCTAAAGGTTGATGAAGTTTGAGAAAATTAAGGAAAGTTTATATGAAATTTAATCAAATGTCAAAAGAGTCCTTGGGTGTCCCGACCCATGGGATTCGTAGACACGAAAAGAGAAGGGCTGAGGATTGAAATGAGGGGCTTGAGACAACTTGATGCTAGCGTTTACTTCTTTATTTTTCCTTTACCTTTTAATTTTTCCTGTCTTTCTACCTTCCCTGACCTTCTCTCTGCTCCTCTCGCAATAACCTCTCTCGCAATAACCTCTTGACCTTCTCGTGGTTCTCTTCTTATATCCTGGTAGCTCCTCCCATCGTACCTCCCAGTCTCATTTGATTAACACCTGTGGTTTCTCAGCAGGCAAAACGGTAAAGCAAAACTTAATTAATGGCACGTGTGTTGCGCAACACGGCGCATGCTCCAGGCGGCTTTGGACATCTCCCCCTTTTTTCTTTTAAATGAGACACCTGGCCTGTCTTAGGTTGGCATATTCCGTGACCAGCCTTACCCGTCATTGCTAATCCGGCGCACTTGGTCCGGACCACTGTCTTAGGTTGTTCTGGAAGGGCTACACTCTTACCCGTCTTTGTCTCTCAGGTTCTCTAGGGCTAAGTTGACCCATCCGGATGCCACTGGGGAGTCCTGGTCAAGTACCATGGCTCCAAGTACTTGCCTGACCGCAATAGCACGTTTTTTGTTTCACTTCCAAATGCACAAACAGCAACTCTGGGAGGAGTCCTCTAAACCAGGCAATGAGACCCTTACTCGAAACAGGGTAACCCGAGTGTTGTTAACAGTTACGAGCTGTCTCGCCAATTGAGAGGTCAGGTTCAGGAGCTGGTGGTTCCAAGGTCCTCTGATTACACTATTTAACCTATTTTCTTCCATAAACATATTTTTCACCATAACAGGAATTACACAAATAAAACTGTACAAAAAGTTACAATGCATGTGAGCAGTTAACAAAAGTGTGTCTATCTCTTTTTACATCAGAGCTATCTGCTAATTAAGCATCAAAAGTCCATTTCATAAATGTTCATTCATATCTTGCTATGTTGATAACGCAAAAACAACATTGGCAACTAAATTGTTTATAGTGTCAGTATTTGCAGCAGTTTGAGTGACAGACTGCGGCAGCAGCCGCAGCCGCAGCCACCACTATTGAAACAGCGACAACAGCTGCAGTTATGCCAAAATCACGTCTCCTCCTAGGTAGAACAGGAGAAAGATGTGCAGAAACATCCACGGGTATGACTAAAGTAGAAGGAGGACGAACGATCACTGCCCTCTCTGCACTCCGGGTCCAGCAGGCAGAGAGGGTGCAGGGCTCTGCTGAACAGTTCAACACAGTTGCATTTCCTGCATTATTGAAGAGGACAAAAAAGGAGGGGACAGGCAAACAACAGTAGACAAACTCTCTGATTATTATTCTGGATACTAACGGATTGTTCAATGGTAGAACTAATGTTTGCAGATTAAATGTCATTAAATAATTTTACCTCACCCTGGCCCAACAGGGCACTATCCAATGGCTTGGAAGCCAGACCAGTAGTAAGTTAGTGGCAAACACTTGCGGAAAAGTGGAATCATGATGATCAATGAGGAGCAAAAAAAACAGCTGATGCACAATCGCCCATAGTACTGACATCTGGGACGCTCGTGTCATCAAGATTAGCAGGGTCAGGTACATCGACAAACCGAACCAATCGAGCAGGAACCCATTGGGGTGATTCCGCATCCTGTGAGAAAAGACAAATGCTGCCGGGCAGCTGTATTAATACTGGTGCGGGTGGTTGCCACTCATTATTAACCTGATCCTTCCATCTCACTTGCAGCATCGTGACCTGCCGAGGGTCTGGCGACCAGTGCCGATCAGCAGCTGACCACCCCTGGGCATCTAGGGTCAAAAAATTAAGGGTAAAGAGAGCTGTAGTCAAACGGTCCCTGGGGGAGTGTTCTCCCCCTGTTTGTTTTAAAAGCATAGTTTTCAGAGAACCATGGGCACGTTCAACTATACCCTGCCCCTGAGGGTTGTATGGAATTCCTGTTTTGTGCACAATGCGATGGACCGCACAAAAGGAGGCAAAAGCCTTACTGGTATAACCAGGACCATTATCTGTCTTAATGACACGTGGGCGGCCCATTACCGCAAATGCTTGTAACAAATGTGAGCAGACATCAGAAGTCTTTTCACCGCAATTTGGGGAGGCGAAAAGAAAACCGGAGAATGTGTCGATGGAGACATGGACTCTAGTAAGCACCCCTTGAGGATCTGTCCCTTCCACGACTGGGTAAGCATAATTAGGAGCCTGGGAAACCAGGACTCTTTCCATCATAGAGCACAGTCTTTCCATTAACGGAAGATCAACCCTGTCGAGTGTTCTAGGAGGTGGCGCAGGAGGTGGCTCCCCAGGTGTTTTCCATCTCCTTTTACGCTTCCTTGGCTTATAACAACCAAGGCCTTTCTCATCCTGTTCCTCCCCTCCTCCCGACTCATCGGTAGAATAATCTAGGGGAGGGGCTGTTGGTATTTTTTGAGTAGAGGAAGGGGGACTTACCAATGTAGAACTCATAATGGAACTTCTATCTTCTTCCTCTGTTTGTTTCGCTGTCCTGACGGCCTCAGTGGCCAACTGAACGGCAGCAGTGCCACCGGCATTAAGAGCATCTCCCACCACTCCCCAGACCGTCAAAGTAGTGCCAGGAAGAGACTCAAGACCATATAATTGCTGATGTAAGACGATATCTCCTTTTACCTTATTCCATTTGTCACTATCGACCTGATCCTGCTCCAGAAACCATTTACTAGTGATACTAAGAGTCTCTACAAATCTTTTAAGAATTTTTCTACTGAGAGGAACCCCAAACTCTTTTAGGAGAGCTTCCAGGGAAATAACTAACTGCCCCTTGAACATTGAATTGCCCATGATCCCAGCTACCTTACCTTACTTTACTTTACTTGCCGGCTCACCACAGCTGGTCCTTCAGCGGTTCCTTCGTTCTTTTTCGTGCCGCACGTTGGGCGCCACCTGTCCCGACCCGCAGGATTCGTAGACACGAAAAGAGAAGGGCTGAGGATTGAAATGAGGGGCTTGAGACAACTTGACGCTAGCATTTACTTCTTTATTTTTCCTTTACCTTTCTTTTACTTTTCCCTGTCTTTCTACCTTCCCTGACCTTCTCTCTGCTCCTCTCGCAATAACCTCTCTTGCAATAACCTCTTGACCTTCTCGTGGTTCTCTTCTTATATCCTGGTAGCTCCTCCCATCGCACCTCCCAGTCTCATTTGATTAATAGGAAACACCTGTGGTTTCTCAGCAGGCAAAACGGTAAAGCAAAACTAATTAATGGCACGTGTGTTGTGCAACACGGCGCATGCTCCAGGCTGCTCCGGACACTTGGGGAGGAAAAATGGGAAATCACTGCTGCTGTGACCCTTCCAAGGCAGTGAAATCAATAAATTTAGAATTTTTGAACTACCTAACTCTTTGAGAATGGAACCTGTGATCTTCACCTGTTTTTGTGAGCATTTATTCACAAAAGATCTTTGCAAATGTTAGCCCATGAGATAAATGTGTTTTCCCTGATAATTTTCCAATCCCATTGCTTCCTCTCAGATCTTTTAACTTGTCACAGCAGAGGATTGCTGTCACCGAAACAACTATTTGTCTTTTGAACCAAACTTACATCATAGCTCCTTTTACTCCCACTAACTATCGATTATGATCTGAAGTGTTCACCCAGTTTTTTCTAAGGTCTTGCATCTATTGCTTTCTGATGTCAACAAGGCTAAATTCTACTCTGTTCCTTGTGCACAACTCTTAATGTCACACAACTCTGAATATTGAATTTTTCTTCATGATGTTTTATTATAAAATTCCCTGGTCATGACTGTTTAGTCATTAGATGACTGTGCGCATGTAGACACTTAAATGTTCTTTGTGAGTTAGTTTTGAAATGACTTTTTAGTATATTTTTTTGTAGAAAACTTTCCAGTTTAAAACTTGAATTTGAAAGAGGTCACTTTTCATGTTTTTAAGTATTTTCAAAAATGCTTGGAGAGGTTTTACTCTGCAATTCTTTTCTATTTTTTTCTTTCTTTCTTTTTTTTTTCGTAGAAGATCTGGGCTGTAGACCAAAAGTACAGTGGGTGAAAGATTCAACAGAGACAGAGTAGGGAGCAGAACAGGCAGATTACTGAAATACACTGCTGAGGGGAGCAACAGGCAAGGCAGGAGAGGCCTGCTGTACCATGTGGGTCAGCTCCCTGGCTGGGGATTGGACTCAGGCCATAACAGTGATAGTAGTGAGACTTAACCCCTAGGCTACCAGGGATGCCCCTACTCTGCAATTCTAACAAAAAAGATGGTTTAAATTATGTTGCAGGAACATCTTCATTCCTTAGTGACTTAAACCAGAAAGTTTTAGTTTTTGCCTACATAGAATGTTCATCATGGGTCTGAGTGAGTTCTTCTCACTGTCATCCACACTCCAGGGCTCAGAGCATTGTTGCTATCACCGTGCTTAACCTTATGAGATAACTTTACAAAAAAAGTGTAGCTTTCATTGATTGGTTTTTAAAATTTCCTCTGGAAGTGGCAGATATCACTCCTGTTCTATTTCAATGACAAGAACAAGCTACTTAACTTTTCTTATTTTCTACCATATTTCCCCCAACAAGAGAACTTGAATATTTGTGACAGTTCTGACTACTATAGTAATCATGTATACATTTTATTTTCCATATTTTAAGAATAAGTTTTCTGAACAATATGCAATTTTGAGCACTTTTTTTTTTGGTCTGGATTATTTACATCCCCAAATTTTATAGAATGGTTATTTTTTTATCCCTTGTCCATATAAGTATATTGATACACAAATAATATATAGGCCTCAATGACCTTTATTCCAGTATTATCACAAAAATTTTCTGAATTTCAGTTCTGTTTACTGTGGGCATGAAAATCTTGATTAGAGTAGCCATGGGGTTTTTTTCCTCTAGCATTTTATTGTAAAAACTTTCAAACATGCAGAAAGTTAAAGTAATTTGATAATGAGAAAGCATTTACCTATCAATCACATTCCTCCATTAATACTTGGTACACTTATTTTATCATATACCTATTATCTATTCATCATCCTGTCTTATTTTTTGATGAATTTCAAAGTTGCAATAATCAGTATATTTCCACATAAATACTTCACCATGCTTACTGTAAACTAGATTTCAAATTATTTGTAGCCCTTTTTCTTTTGCTCATATGTAAGTCATAAATGGATCATTCAGTGAGTTTCCAAAAATGCAGCATTTGTTTATACACAGTCCTTTCAGGGTACAAAACATTATCATCACCATTTAAAGTTCCCTGTTGGGCCTCCCCGGTGATGCAGTGGGTTGAGCACAGTGTTATTTGCAGCTTCTGCAGTGTGGTTTTGATTTCCAGCAGGTCAGGGAGATTGCCACATGGCGTGGCAGACCTCTCCTGTCCCGCCTGCTGCTCCCCTCAGCAGTGTATTTTGGTTGTCTGCCTGTTCTGTTCCCCACTCTGTCTCTGGTGAATCCTCTTACCCTCCCATGCCTCTGGCCTGTACCCAGCTCTTGTATAAAAAATAAATAAATCTTTTAAAAAAAAGTTTCCTGTTGTTCCTTCCTAGACAATCTTCATTCTTATTCTCCCTTCCCCCAAACCAATCATTCTTTTGATTTTTTCCATTAAAAATTAGTTTTTCCGGAACCTGGGAGCAACATGGCGGCGAGGAGACGCTGCGAGTAAGATCTCCCATTAAAAAAAGTTAATAGGGAGGAAAAGCGGCAGGTCCCAGTGAGAACTGGGACACGGAAGATAAACGGACGACTCCAGCAAACTGCCCAAAGAAGAAAGTTGCCATAAAAGAGGACCAGAAGGGAGGGAAGCACAGAACCCTGCTCCCCTCCCCCGCCCACAGAGGCGGCACTCTCCGACCGGCAGAGAGGAGGGAAACAACAACCCAAAACGCCCAACAAGAAAAACGGACGCAGCAAGTGGGACTGTGAGTGGAAAGGAACTATTTCAGCCACCACACCCCGTGAACGGGAGCTGAGGCGAACCCTGCAGGATCCGCCGCGGAGGTGAGCTCCAGGCGCCATTAAAGAGAGCCCCGCCCCCCAGGAGGAGACCAGCACCAGCACACAGCCACGGCCGCCCTGTAAGCTTGCGCGAAAGGGCGCTCGGATTGCAGCTGCCCAGGTCCCCGCGCCTGCGACCTAGGCTTGCGGAGGCCCTCCCTGAGTGAGCAGGAACAAGGCGCCCAGGCAGGGGAGCGGGATTCAAAAGGCGCCATTCCCGCACCACTGATCTGGGCTACAGCCCGCGTCCTGGAACTGAGGGCTTTGGAACTGAGACCCGGGCGGAGGCCCTCCCTGAGTGAGCAGGAACAAGGCGCCCAGGCAGGGGAGCAGGATTCAAAAGGCGCCATTCCCGCGCCACTGATCTGGGCTACAGCCCGCGTCCTGGAACTGAGGGCTTTGGAACTGAGACCCGGGGCACGAAATTAGGGGCGTGGGTTCCCCACGACGGTGGGGCACAGGGCAGACACAGCACCCCAAAGCCGTTGAGGTGTACCCTACCATCCCCGCTCTGCTCCCTGTCCCACGGGGTGGAAAATCAGCTCCCCAAGGGCTCTAGGAGAGATCTCTGGTGCCACCTAGCGACTTGACCCCAGCACAGGCTACTGAAGGAGCTAGTGGCCAGCTGGGGAGTTAGCCCACACCGGGCCCCTTCCGAACAAGTAGTCTGAGCCCACAGGGAGAGCGAGCACCCACAGCCGGGGCAGACCAGGCGCGCAGAAGAGTGTGCCTGAGACCAGAAGCGCAGGGAGTGTGTCCCACATCACCATTTTAGAACAGGGACATTTCTTCAGTAAAGACTACCTGCAGAAGGCTTCCTCAGGAGCCAGAGGTGAGCGGGGGAAGTTCACCCACGCCAGACCCCCTCTGGCCTGCAGTCCAAGCCCAGAGGGGAGCAGGAACCCACCGCCGGGGCAGACCAGGCGCACAGGGGAGTGTGTCCCCACATCGGCATTTTAGAACAGGGACCTTTCTCCAGTAAAGGCTGCTTGAAACTGACAGATGAGTCCTGGAAGAACCAGAGGGGAACAGAGAAGCCCACCCAAGATGCCGGCAAGTCCCAACAACACAGTGTCCCAACGCATACGGCAAATTAGAAAACAGACAGTAGGGAGGAGAAGAACCACACGCAACCTAGCAACTCTCCAGAGAAAAAGCACACCACAAAAAGAAAGCCAGCCCCCAGATTGCAACGACAATAACTTGGAAGAATTTCTGAGCCTTCCAGAAAGAGAATTTAAAATTGCTGTGATTAAAAAACTGACAGAAGTCATAAAGGAAAACAATGATAAGGGAAAAATAATCAACGATCAGAAGAATGCAATTGAGTCCCTAGAGAGGGAAAACAATGGTCAGAAGAAAGAAATTGAGTCCCTAAAGAGGGAAGTAAAAGAAATGCAGGAGATCAAAGAATTAATGGAAGAACTAAAGAATTCTGGAAAAGCAATGAAAGCAGAATAGATGAAATGGAAGAACGAATAAGTAATCTTGAAGACACAGAAATAAAAAGAACCAAAACAGAAAAGGAAAGAGAAGTACAAAGGAAAAAGAACGAAGAAAGACTTCGGGAACTATCTGACTCCATGAGGAAAGGAAATATAAGAGTTATAGGAATACCAGAAGGAGAGGAGAGAGATGTAGGAACAGAGAAAATATTCAAAGAGATAATTGAAGAGAACTTCCCAAATGTGAAGAAGGAGCTGAAAATTGATATACAAGAAGCAAGAAGAACACCAAACTTCCACGACGAAAGAAAAATACAGCAAGACACATAATAGTAAAGCTCCCAAGAATCCAGGACAAGGAAAAAATAATGAAGCTGGCAAGAGGGAAGAAACAGATAACATTCAAAGGAAAACCAATCAGGCTGACATCAGACTTCTCCGAAGAAACACTACGGGCAAGGAGAGAGTGGAGGGACATAGTCAACAGACTCCAAGAAAACAGATGACAACCAAGAATACTCTATCCCGCAAAGCTCTCCTTCCTCTTTGAAGAAAGAATATGGACCTTCCCAGACAAACAGAAACTCCGGAATTTCATTGCAACTAAACCCCCACTCCAAAAAATACTACAAGGAGTCCTAAAGCCAGAACCTCAGAGGGACGAATAACAATGAAAGAAGGCCAAAAAAAAAAAAAAAGTTATTAAAAGAA